GGTCACCGTTGACGTTTATGGAATCGAACCGACTCAATGCTACACGTACAGGAGATTACGGGCGTTTTACAGGCTGACTAGGAGTCCGTCCGACGTGGCTGAGCTGCGGGGAAATAAAGGAAAAAAGAGAACATGCCGCTGTTTACGCAAAGTAAAAAAAAACAGAACGGCAGGAAATAACGAAAAAGGAGGACGTGCCGATGTTTACGCTACTGGAAAAACAGAACAGCGGCTCAATTTGCCGATCGCGTTCGCCTCGAACGACCACGGCCGTCTCGCGCCGCCAAGGGCACATTGCTGCTTGCTCGGCCGATCTTTTCAAGCCGTCGGCGTCGCATGCTCCGTCACATCGGCATTAGCAGGTAATCCTATGTATACTGAAGGCCATGATGTTACGATTTGGATAGTCTGACTGGTGATACTGCAGCATATATACTTGATTTATCCATCTGTAGATCAAAGCTGTGTACCTGAGTTTTCCGCCTTGATGAAGCCCTGAAGTTAGCTACAAATGATTAGTTATTAATCTTTCATCTGTTTGCATGTAGCACATCACATCACCTCGGCACACAATGTTATGTTTGTTTCTAAGTATATGCATCTGGTAATGTTCAACACAACCTTTTCAAAATAATTTAACATGTCAATTTTTAGGTCAATTTGTTACCATTCAGTTTAGTTATGTTGCCTTTGTACGAGAATGATTAAAAATTTCATGGCTTGTAGGAATGGATGATGGAACTTGTATTGTTCAAGAATCAAGTGACATGTCTATTTCAAGCGACGATGATGGCATTAAGCAGCAGAAGAAAAGCAATGTGGAAGTTGAACATGACCTTGGTGAAGCCCAACCAGATGTGTCACTTGGAGATCCTGAACTGGGGATGACCTTTGGTAATGAGAATGAGGTGCGAGAGTATTATACCCAGTATGCTAAAGCAAAAGGCTTTGGTGTGACGAGAAGAAGTTCAAACAGTGATGATAATGGACAATTGAGGTACCTTACACTTTCCTGCAGCCGTCATGGTAAGACTCAGTCCAACTCAAGAAATATGTTGAAGCCAAATCCATCAGCCGGGTTAGGATGCAAAGCTAAAATTAATGTTACTCGTGGTCCTGATGGGAAGTTGTACCTTTCGAAGGTCATATTGGATCATAATCATGCATTAAGTCCACTAAAATCTCGGTTATTTAGATGCAACAAAAGGTTAGACTACCATGTTAAGCGAAAGCTTGAGTTGAATGACAGAGCCGGAATTCGGGTAAACAAGAACTTCAATTCTTTTGTTGTGGCAGCAGATGGTCATCATAACCTAACTTTTGGTGAGAAAGATTCTCGTAATTTTCTAGAGAAAATAAGGAGGCTGAAACTTGGCAGTGGTGATGCTGAAGCGGTTCGTGACTACTTTATTAAAATGCAATCCGACAACCCAAACTTTTTTAGTGTAATGGATGTTGATGATGAATCCCGACTTAGGAATGTATTTTGGGCTGATGCCAGAAGTAGGGCAGTGTATGACTCTTTTCATGATGTCATTACTTTTGATACGACATATTTGATGAACAAATATGATATGCCGTTTGCTTGTTTTGTCGGAGTGAATCATCATGGCCAATCAGTTTTGCTAGGATGTGCTTTATTATCAAATGAAGATACTGGAACATTTGTTTGGTTATTTCAAGCATGGCTCACATGTATGTCAAATCGTCAACCAAAAGCAATTGTCACGGATCAAGCAAAAGCAATTCAGAATGGTGTGGAAGTAGTTTTTCCGGAATCTCGATACAGATGGTGCTTGTGGCACATAATGAAAAAGATACACGAGAAGCTAGGTGGGTATGATGAATATGATCGCATCAAGGTTGCTGTTGGCAATGCGGTCTATGATTCATTAACAGTTGCAGAGTTTGAAGTTGCTTGGATGCATATGATTGAGAAGTATGATCTTGGTGATAATGAATGGCTTAAAGGGCTTTACAACTATCGACACCGTTGGGTTCCAGCATTTGTGAAAGATGCCTTTTGGGCAGGTATGTCTACTACACAACGTAGTGAGAGTATGAATGCCTTCTTTGATGGATATGTTAATGCAAAAACTACACTGAAGCATTTTGTTAGCCAATATGAGAATGCTCTTCGTGATAAAGTTGAGAAGGAGAATGTTGCTGATTTCAATTCTTTCAATTCAACCATACCTTGTATCACACGCTTTGACATTGAGAAGCAATTTCAGTCAATCTATACAAATTCAAAGTTCAAAGAATTTCAAGAAGAGCTAACAGATATTATGTATTGTGATCGGAAGTTTATACAAAAAGAAGGGGCAATAGAAACATATGAAATAACCGAGGATGTGCTAATTGACGAAGAAAAAAGATGGAGAAAGGATATTCTGTACCATGTATATTTCAATGAGGAAGAGTTCGAAGTTAAGTGTTCATGTCGCCGCTTTGAGTTCAGAGGTATTCTCTGTAGGCATGTGTTGTGTGTGCTTACTCAAAAGAAAATCAAGGAGGTTCCTCCACAATACATCCTTGCTCGGTGGAAAAAAAATGTGAAAAGAAAACATAACTTTATCAGATGCACATACGGGGGGATGGAAGACAGTCCTATTGCCAAACGCTTTGATAGCTTGTGCAATTCTTTCTACCCAGTTGCAGAGATAGGTGCCATGTCGGATGATGCACACAATTCCTTGATCGAAGATCTTCGCACCTTGAAAATTAAGTACAGCAGCAACTCAAGTTCTGAAAATAACAATGATAAGGTTGGTACACAGGAAGATTCACCTTCCAATGGGAAGGCAACAGGTAAAACTATACTGAGTCCAATAGCTGTTAGATGTGCTGGACGCCCTCCTTCGGTGAGAAAAGAATCTAAGGTTGATAAGCTTATTCGCCAAGCAAACGAAAAGAAGAAGAAAAAAGAACAAATGGAGAAGAAAAAGGCTGCAATAAAGGAGAAGAAGGAAGCTGAAAAAGAGGTATCATTTTGAATATTACATTTTTCAGTTGTGAAAAAGAAGACCTAAATTCACACTTGTGAGCTCAGTAAAATTGTATTTGTTTCAGGCTCGCTCCTTGAATATGAAAAATAAAAGGTCCAGCAAAAAAAGAAAAACCTCAGAGGATGATATTCTACAACAAAATGCTATAGAACATATGGTATCTAATTCTTGCTCCCGGCTGTTTAGCAATATTTTTTCATGTATTTTACTGACTTCTTGCAATCTAAAACAGAGTCAACAAGATGTTTATTTGGATGGCCAGGCTTGTAGTATCACAGCTCAGGTATCTTTATTTCTCATCCTTTTATTTCTAGTAAACACTTGAGCAGCAATGTCATTTTATCACCTTCTTTGGACAGGAATCATTTGACTTGGGCATTAACGCTGGCAACATAAATGTACCCCAAGAATCGACTACGGTATCATTTGGAGGTTTATCGACAATGGTTATGCCTCCAATCCTAGGAGAATATACAAGTATGTTGTTTCAAGTTCAGCAAGGATCGACTGTAGTGCCCAGTTCTGCTGAGTTGCACTTTGATGGAATTGGAGGGCGGAACAATACGGTGGATCAGAGTTAGACAAGATTTATGTCATTTCAAGTGGTTGGATGCAGTACTTTCTATGCACTTGGCAACTTTAATGTAATAGCTGAAAGACACCCGGGCACCAAATTTATATTTTGTCATCAGGATTTTTCCCTAAAGTACCAGATTTGCTTTATGAGATTGTTATACTTTTGCAATTTTCCTTAGATATGTGTACGTGCGCATTGCCGCTAGCTAATTCTCATGAATGAGAGTTTTCTGTCTCACACATTTGCAATAGAACAAGGATGTTTCCATCAGGACAGATTTCTTATTCATAATTCTAGTTGGAACATTATGATCACAACTTATACGTCACACAGGATTTACCATCCATCAATTTTTCAAGAAACAAACAACCTTGTATATTGATCTAATTCATAAGGTCTGATTTTACAACCACACAAAATCATATAATGAAAAGTACACGTTACAATCAACACCAACTACGCGAGCAATTCTGTATGGAACTTGCACACTCCAGTCATCTTCTCCACATACACACGCATAATCTGCAATCATATGTGGTCTGATTTTGGTCTCTTTTGATTCGGTGAAACAACACTAAATGTTTCACCGAATTGATTGCATAGAGAATACCACTGCTGCTAGAGTGTCTATTCCTCTCCCTGCAAAACATAACAAAATTCAGTCCTTGCACAAAATTCAGAGCTTCCCCTAAATTCAGATTAGCAGGAAGCAAAACTGAAGCAAAATTCAGAGCTACCAGTTTGGCACTTTAGCTCGTCCATCTGGTCCAGCTGCGGGGGGGATGAGAACGTCGACGCTGCCCTGCATGCTCAGGAGCAGGTCGATCAGCATCGTCAGCCGCCGTACGACTAGCATGTACGCCGCCCAGGGCTCCACGGGGCTCGCCCACGGCGCTTCCAGCGTCTATACGACGAGGCCGCCTCGCCTCTCTGAAGGAGCCGGCCGTCACGCTGCCGACGAGCAGGGGATCGCCTGGTCGCCCTGGAGGAACCGGTCCTGACACTGCCGACAAGCAGGGGATCGCCTCGACGCATCGGAGGAGGCAGCCATGGGGCATCCAACGAGGAGGAAGTCGCCTCGCCGCCTGAAGGTAGCACATCCTGACGCGTCGAAAGAGATCGCATCCACACAGCCATGAGGGGAACTGGAGCAGATAGCTTGGCCGATCTGGGCGAGCCGGTCGTCGCTTGGGAGAGAAAGGAAACCGCCGGGATTTTTATTTTTTATTTTATCTTTTCCTTTTCAGTTCAGCGCGCGCTCGCACCCTCGCAGCCACGTCGGACGGACTCCTAGTCAGCCTGTAAAACGCCCGTAATCTCCTGTACGTGTAGCATTATTGGGGTACGAATATCCCTGTGACACGAAGATAAAACCGATCGCGATCGCATCGCTGCTCGCGCAGCCGACGCAGACGATGATCGGCGACGACCGGCTGTCCGACCTCCCCGACGACCTTCTCCGGCGCGTCTTGCACTTCGCCCCAGCCAAGGAGGCCGCCTCCACGACCGCGCTCTCGCGGCGCTGGTGCACGCCGCTCTGGCGCTCCACCGGCGCCGTAAACCTCGAGTCGCGCGTCCACGACAACGACCGCCACCACCACCGCCGCAACATCGACAGACGAGATGACGAGGCCGGATTTGTGTCCCGGCGCGAAGCCTTCGTCTCCGCGGCCATGGTGGCGCTCGACGCCGCGGCCGCCGACGACCACGTCACCAGACTCACCTTACGCCTCAAGTCTGACAGCGACGCCACGGTTGCCGAGTTCCTGAACGGCAGCTCCGACAGGTATGAGACGCCTAAGGAAAACTTGGTCGACGTGGTGCTCGCCCACCCTGCGGCGCTGCGCGTGGAGGAAATCCGGCTGGTCGCCAAAGAATGGAGGAGCGACGCGTACTATGAGGGCGAGATCATCTGGGATCGGATAGGCGCCTACAAGCTCACCCTCGACAAGCTGCCGTGGGAGACCCTCCGCGTGCTGGATCTCACCAACAGTCAGGGCCTCTACCAGCCGAAGAAGGCCGCCGCGCTGTGGTGCTCCCGAGGCTGTCGTCGCTCAGGCTGCGGCATTGTGGTCAGCACCTTGTCTCTCTCCAGAGCATCATCGACGCCGCGCCGGTGCTCGCCGCTGTCCGCCTCGAGTCCGTCCTGATCGACGCAACAAACCACGACAATTGCTGGGGCTGCGGTAACAAGATCGACCGCTGGGCCGGCAGCGATGAAGACGACGACGACGACGATGCACCTCAATCGCCGCCCAAAGAAGCTGCACCCTGCCGCCTCCGATGCCCAGCGGCCACCCTGCTCGTGCTGGAGAGGTGCAAGTGGGAGGAGAAGGAACATGGGCGCCACGGCCACTCGTACCGTGACAACGATGACGACAAGCTTGTCAACCTGATCGCTGCGGAGATCGAGGCGCCGAGGCTGCGCCGCTTCAGGTACAAGGGATATCTCCGGCCGTTCTCATTCAGTTCACAGCCACCGGAGTTGGAACAAGTGGACCTCGATTCTTTCCCGTACGACGACGACGAGAACCACAAGAACAAGGAACCAAACCGCGTCCTAGCGTCCATCTGGCGATTGGTTCGGAGCTTCACCAGCGCCAGGGAGATGAAGCTAAGGCTGAACCACCTCGAGGACATCGCCGTCCTGAGCGAGGCAAGGCAGGTCGAGCTCCTGCCTGCATTCCGCCGCCTCGAGCGACTCGAGCTGCAAGGGGTGCACAGGCCGAAAGGCAAGACCGCGTCGGTGACGATCGCGAACCTGGTCCGCCGCTGCCCCGTGCTTCTTGACCTCTGGATCAACCTCACTGCGGAGGACCAAAACGCCCGCAAAAATTATCAGCACGCACATGAATTCTTCGAAAGGAAATTCCGGTATGACCGTGACAAGTCCAAGGATCGTCTTGACCACTGCTGCCGCGACTCGGAGCCTGACACGATTTCGCCGGAAGGAGAAGGCGATGGTGTTAATTACTATGACGAAGTTTCTGAAATTCCTGCCTTGAGTCGACACTCGTTCGAATGCTTGCAGAGCTCACTAAGGAGAGTGTGCCTGCAATTCCAGTTGGAGAAGTCCAACTGTCTCGGTCTCCAGCTGATCAAATTCTTCGCCGAGAACGCCATGGTCCTTGAAGAAATGCATATCGATGTTGGGAACGGGAAGCTGTGGGAGCACATGAATAGCAAGATCGAAACATGCATAGCCAATTCATGCAAAAGAAATAAGCCAGGAGCGTCAAGAGATGGCTATACAAAGAATGAGATTTGTGAGTTTTTGACATGTATACCTTTTTTAGAGGGAATACATTTCTGTAGAGGACGTTCTCACTTTCAATAAAGTCACCATAACTACAGAAATTATTGTATGTAGGATATAATTGTGCGATCAAACTTGGGAATCGCCCAGGAGGGTTGAGCAAATGATAAGGAGGTGGAACAGATGGCTACTCCTAGGTCAACAAGCCTGCTGTGCTATGCTTGTTTAATTATTTGAAAACAAAATTGCTACACTTACGGACAAGTTACGGATGAAACTTTCTTAGGCTTCTCGGTCTCACACTCTCACTGTTTTTCTCACAGAAATGCACAGAACTTGTACGAAGCTACCTAGTTTTAGCCGTTTAGGATGGTGTGATCCATATTTATAGCCTGACAAAAATGACCTACACTACATTGGCTCACACAACTATTGACTAACTTAATAGCTAAGCTAGGACAGCTCACTGCAAGCAAATTAAATTCAAAATTCGCTTCTTCCAGTGCTTGCCGCAAAATAACGAAGTATTACGATGGTGGCCTGCCAAGCAGAGATCTCAGTCTCAGAGCATCTCTAGCAAACCCTGTAAAAGTCGGATCCGGAAAACGCGTTTACAGTTCGCTGCAGATCAGATTCGTGGAGCAAATTCATATGCTGCAGATCAGACTGCGTATATGAAACTGTAAAATTTGAAAAAGAAACTTTCATGGAAGAAACTTGCAATGACATTCATCACAAATAGTTTGATCATCATACTACATCATAGATAGTTGTTCATCATAGTACTACATAGGTCGGGGGGGGGTCTCTGCGAGCCGTGTAGCGTACCCGAGCCTAGGCTACAAAAATCAACGGGTGCGGCGGCAACGACGCGGCGGAGGAGTTCATTCCTCATCGGAGTCGAGGGCGATCCAGACCATCGCCTGCTCGGCCTACATGACGCGCAGGTCCGCCTCCTTGGACGCGGGCGCCTATGACGCCGCGACGCCCTGCTCGAGGAAGATCTCCTCGCTCTCGAGCTCGCGGTGGCGGCGCGTGGCGGCCTCTTCCTCCTCCCTCGCCGAGCACTCCATGATGGCGTGCTCGAGGTGGTCCTCCTGCCCCAGAGGGGAGGTAGTCTTCGGGGTCGATGACGCCTCATCGTGGCGGGTCCGCATTGGCCTCGAGTGGCACAGTGAGCGGCCCGAGCTCCTCTGGCTCTGTCTTGACTGGAGTGAGTCGCGAGCTCGCGGCGCCCGCGTACGAGCTCCCCACAGCAGAGGAGCCAGAGGAGGCGCGGCGGTGGACCGCGAGCTCGCACTCGTACTCGTCGAGCTCGCGTCATTCGAACGTCGACGACGGCCGGCTCCCATAGTTGAGGCACTTCTGTGCCTCTCCCCCACTTCCGTGCGGCGGCGGAGATGCGGCGGCGGCGGCGCTCCGCATCATCCCCACCACTTCGGTAGCCGTCCATGGGTTAGGAAGTGTCGCTAGGGCTTTTTTTAGGCTCGCCGGCGGCGGGAAATTGGGGCTGCGGGGCAGGGGAATCCCGGCGGAGGCGGATAGGGTTTGACCTGTATTCGAGCGGTGAAACCTCATGAATAACAATGGAGAGGGTATTTTTTTCGGGCCACGGTAAACTTTTTACGGGCCTGGCCCAGGATACAGAGTCTGTTCTGGTAAGAAAAAAGGGCCGAACCTGTATACTCGTCGGAATTATATGGCTTCGGTCCTTTTACCCGGTCTGCTAGAGATGCTCTTAGGAAATCTGTACTTGAGTTAGGATGTATTTTGTGAAAGCGAACCCAACAGTCAATTTCCGTTTCCTTTTGGCTGCTATTGCTATGTAGCTGTGAATATAGTTGTACTAGAATCTTCAGGCAAGTTCTATATAGCAAAACTAAAAGTCCACTGCTACTGACATGCATGCAATATATTGCATGTGTTAATTATTGTGGCTATATCAAGATTAATGCTGACAATGGTGAACATGTTAAGCTAAATATATGGATGGAAATAAATGCTACTGATAGTATCATACTCCCTCTGTCCCACAATATAAGAGCATTTTTGAAACTAGTATGGTGTTAAAAACGCTCTTATATTATGGGACGGTGGGAGTAAATGTGAAACCATTGGTTTTGAGATGCATTGTCTCGAACTCTCTATTGTAAAATTTCAGTTCGTAGTCTTTTCTTATATGAAACACATCGGAATGGTTTTGTTGTTATTCTAGAAGTTGATGTTGAGTTCAGGTAACTCTTATGTGTGGCACCCAATATGTGAGTTGTTCACTTTCACGCAGGTCAGTGATCAGTGTGTGATGGCGTTGGATTGATACTCTCGAAGTTGGGAGCACAAACTAGAGTAATAGGAACTTAATTTTTTCTCGAGCGTTGATCGTGGTCAACAAAGGAAGGGATTACAAGTTGCAGGTGGAGTCGCATGGAGTCTTTGGAGTAGCAGCGGTGCTCATGGGATAAACTCAAGTCCAATGTACATGGAAGTTTGACGCATTGACGAATTCAAGGTGGTGGAGAATATTCGCCAAGGTGGAGTTTGTTAGAGTTGTGTCGAATATAGCGTACAAGGTAGGTTACAACTGGACTTGTAGTTGTATTGTGTTTAGATAGGATATGGAGTCGTGTCCAAGTAGGACACTTGTATCCTAGGCCTCTCATATATAGCGGGGGTAGACACACGATGTAGCCTATGCCAACATAATAGCACCGGAACGCAGGGGAAGCCGGCGGCATGTGCCGGTGTCCAGGGTGACCGGGTGCGGTATTGTGACGGTGTCACGGGGAGGAGCGCCCGTAGTCAGGCCCCGGAGATGTAGCCATATCGGTGAACCTCGTTAACAAATCTCGGTCTCGTGCTCGTGTGATTGCTTGGTCCTCGGATAATCGACGGTTCGGATTTATTCTAACAATATATATACCTGAAAATAAATGTATGTGTGTACACGATTTTCATTAAAAAATGAATATGTTCAATGATACTATTAAATCAATGGAAATGATGTTAAGTAGTATTACCTTCGTCCTAAATTACTTGTCTTAGATTTGTCTACATATGAATGTATCTAACACAAAAACATGTCTAAATACATTCGTATCTAGACAAATGCAAGACAGGTAATTCGAGACTGAGGAGTAAATTCGACACAACTATGTCAAATATGCTTCTGATCATGATGGGATTATTTATTGGAGACCATTCGAACAACACTTCCGCTTCGGTAGACCCCCTGTAAACACAAGGAGGGCTGAGATTGCCCAATACCCCTTCATAACAAAGGGTAGGATGGGCATAAGATTGCCCCGCCGGTCCGCCCGCCCGCAAAAAAAAACAGACGGAGGTATACGTATATGAATACAGGCCGGCCGCCCGCCCGGGAGGGAAAAAAATTAAAGCGGCCGCTCGCAGTCAACGCGTTGTCGGTGGCGCCGCGCCGGCCCCACCCCCACGCCCGCCGGCCCCACGCAATCCCACACCCGTCGTGTGGCGTGTCGGCCGCCAATCACGGCGCCCGAGGCGCGCATGCACGCAGGCGGTTCCACGCGCGTGCCTCCTTGCGTGCCGCGCCGCCGCTGCCGCCTGCAGCCGCGCCTGCCGGACGCCACCGCTGCCGCCTCCTCGCCTGCCGCGCGACCGCTGACGCCTGCCGTCGCTGTCGGCTCCTCGGCTGCCACGCGGATGCTGCCACCCGACCGGCCCGCCGCCTGGCCTGCCCCCTCCCGACGCGCTGTTCGCTTCGCCCGACCGTCAAACGCCGCCTCGCCTGCCACGCGCATTAACGCGCCGGCGTTAATAACCACGGCGCCGCCTGCCCGCCTCCCTCCCTCCCCCCGCTATAAAACGGCACCGGCCCGATGGCTTTCTTCCGCCACCTCCCGCACCTCCCGCACCCTCCACCTCCACGCCACCTCTCGCACCCGATGGCTTTCTTCGGCGGCAGCAGCAGCACCGGTGGCGGCGCCGCAGCCGACGCCCCCGGCGCATGGCCGACGAGCATCGGAGGGCCGGAGACGGAGGAGCTCCACCACTACTGCCTCCCCGTGCCGCCGGGCTGCCGTCTACCGCGCAACTGGAAGATCGACGCGGAGGGCTTTGCGACGTTGGGTCCCGGCGCGACGGAGGAGGAGCTCCGCAACCACAGCGGCGGCCGGCACAACATCGAAGGCCGAAAGCGGTTTTGGCGCGGGAAGGACTATTGGGAGGTGATGGCGGCCTTCCGCCTTGCCGCGGCCGGCGAGACCCCCGATCTGACGGGCCGCAGCGGGCGTCTTCGCGCACCGCCTCCACCGCAATATCGCCGCAGACGTGGCGGCGGCCACGGTGTGTACCCGGCACGGGCGCCCGCGCCGGTCGCCCCTCCCTTGCCGCCGGGGATCGAGTTGCCGCCGGAGCAGGTCATCCTCCGCGAGGACGGTGATCCGGATGACACGCCGGGGTACCACGTCGCCCTACGGGCGTCGGAGGCTGCAGCGGCGGCGGCGGAGGCGATGGAGGCCGCCGAGATTGCGGACGCAATCCAGGCGCCCGAGGCGGCGTAGCAGGCGGCGATGGCGGCGCAGCAGGCGGCGATGGTGGCGCCGGAGTGGCAGCAGGTGCCGCCGGAGTGGCAGCAGGAGTGGCAGCAAGCGCCGGCGGTGGCGGAGGAGGAGGATTCCGACGACGATCCGATAGACTGGGACGACCTCGCGAACCGGTCCAGCAGCGACGATGACGGCGGCGACGGCCCGGCCGTCATTGACCTCGTCAATAGCGACGGCGAGTAGTTTTTTTGTGTTTTTATTTAATTTAGTTATGTCGTTGTAAGCCTAAATAGTAGACTTTATGTGGTGAACTTTTAATCGTTGAGTTAGCCCGAGTATGTAAAATATTTTATCTATGTTGAATGAAATTTGAGTGAAATTAATTTTGTCCATTTCATTCGAGAGTTTTGATTTGATGATGCGTTTGTACATAAATACTTGCAAAAAACGCTTAGTATGAGAGTACGTCCTGCACGCACGATATGGACAAAAACAGAGAGGAAAGACACGTCGCGTCACGTTCGGACATCGGTGTAGGGTACTTTTTCCTTAAAAACCCCA